TGCAGAGTCTACCAAAAATAAATGACTGTTTCGGGTTGGATGTGAACAACACTGTCTAGGCGATGACGATTGAAGGTTCGAACTCGTCGTCTTGCATCTCACTGGCCGTTTGTTCATGTTTTCGTATTGTTGTTTGCGATTCCCATCAATGTCTAACCATGTTGCCCTCACATAAATCACTTCGACTGACCTAGTTCGGGGGAGGGCTGGTACCTCACTGTACGTGCTGCACGGTTATCTGACATAATCGGTTAAACATGACATCCTCTCTCGAAGGGTGTGAACTGTGTTGTGTTATAAATACGAGCGTTGAGTCGGAAGACGAGAATAATCCAAGTGCGTGTGTGGGCCATTGGTAAAAGGCATGAAAGAAGGTGGCCACCTGACCGTGACGAAGGCGTGCTGATGTGGACCGCTCACTCAGTGACTAATACATATTAGCCGATCAGAGATACCGGAGACTGTGGGCGGTGAACCAATACTCAGTTGTAGAATATCATAAAAAACGAGAAATTCAGTTGGTTCTCTCGTGAAAACCAAATTGATTTGCAAATGAGTGTAGTTCTCGAAAACAGTCCAATTTGGGTTCAAGTAGATCATAAGGTTGACGGAAACTCGGGGACTGCGCCTACCTGATGAGCCTCAGGAAGGGCGAAACCGGTGGTGGGTTGTCGAAGAGTTTTCAGCAACCTTGTGAGTAGTTTCCTTTATGACAATACTCGATATGTTTGTATATCCGTCTCTTATTGTGCGCGACCATCCTAGTGTGACTGGGCCCCAAAGAACAGGCCGCGAAGGCCAGCACACCACCGTAAGGCTGACTGACTGACTTCGCCATCGTGCAGTTGTGGACTATTAGCTTGTATGGTCAGTCTTGTCTTGCGGTAGTTCATAACATGCAAGGCAAATATATCGATCGAAGAGCACAGCGGTTTGCCATAGGCTTGTGTGACCAAATGCGAGAAATGCGTTTAGCGCGAAGGCACTTGTGCATGCGCACAGCCTGATGTGGAATTTCTGGCACTTGAACTAGCTGTTCAGAAACGCCTAAAGGTCTCAGGCGTCAGCAAATTGATGCATATGTTGACGTATCATCAGTAGCTGGGCGTGGATAATGACATATTTCCAGGTAAACTGAACGATGTGTGGGTACTTGTTAAGGAAGCTCAAATACAGTAACCGGTGGATTATCCGTAGAGAATATCCCTTCAGTTCGTTCTGGTTTGAAAGGAAAGCATATATGATCAAAATACACACTCCACTAGGCTCTGCCATCTCACACACGACGTTTCAGTACAACACTGTTGACGCCTTGCGGTTGTCAACATGTGAGTGAATTACATTCATCGAAATAGAATAGGCACGTGGGCTTTACGTCAAGCGTCACTCTGCGGAGTGACAATTTACGTGTGAAGATGTTTTACGGTGATGGAAGTAGATAGGTTTTTCAAGAACCATCCTCAGTTCAGTCCAAGTATGTGGGTTTGTTCGCTCCCATTTGAGTGTCAGGAGGTTCATTTCCCTAAGTTCCAATTCACCACGGACACCGTTGAAGTCGCGTTATTGGTTCATAACCTTAACGCCAAGCCGGGTAAGTTGGACATAAAGTCTCGCAGGCTGACTGCGCAGGAGCACACACAGCTACACATTCCGAATGCGTGCGAAATTCGCTCCAATATCTCGGGGTCGATCAAAAAGAGCAACGAGGTTGTCGATCTTCGGGAGTATAGGCTATACTACGGTTGACGAATGAACTTCTCAATGAAGACCTACCACAATGCCGCAGATGTTCCCGAAAATTCGGATACCTCCATGTACATACTGTCCCAAACTTGCAAGGTGATATAATTAGGGTACTTGCTTTTGTTCTCCCGAACGAGCGACGTTTGTGTTCTCCAAGTGCTCTCCTGTTAAGTTCACATCCGAAATGTGATACCCCACCTCTGCAATCCGATATGCCACCGGCTTTATACTGAGTTGTACGAATCTGACTGCTTGATTAACATAGATCAAACTGTGCGACTAAACTTCAAACGTAGACTGCAAGTTTACACAGATGTGCAGAGAGATGATCACTAGACAGGCAGCGGGCATTGGGGCGTATGTCCCACTAGCTGGCTCGATCAGCACCTCAACCTCACATAATACCTACATCTGCTTAGTGTACAGATATTTCGATTGTTTCAGCCTCACAGCATCGGTTATGCTTACAGCAACATCGTAAGTGAGGGGAATGTAATGTCGCGTCAGAATGGTGGACAACACAGTTGAGTCAGCAATGCGAAGTGCATTCACAGGATTTCCGTCGGCCTCCCTAGATATAATTGATGAACACTATTCAGTTAACGTAGGATTTCATCCCACTGGTCACTTCAACTTAGGTCTCTAGTAGGTGTAATGTTGAATTCACGGGATCGGAAAGTAGTGACTCTGGAGGAGAAAGTGGGAAGTTACTCGACGAAGCAAAACTGAAGCGCGTTCAACAACAATCACGAAGACGTTTGCACTTGAAAAACTCCAGTTTAGTCCATCAGGAAAAAAACAAGAGCAAAACAACGACGAATTCTGCAGCCCGTCTTATTCGAGATAGGAGATTATGCGAAAGCTGAAGGTTAACCTTTGTAAGATCAGTGGGGCTGTCGAACTCATGGACGAAAAAAGTGGGGGCTATCTCGGCGTCTTCTACAATCACCAAAAACCTCGCTAAATGTGGTTTCCGTGCAACTCAGCTGGCTAAGTATCTGAATGAAATCGTGTTCACGTTGTAGCTTTTATGGGCTGGCTAGACGTGTGTCCGACAGCTTGCACTCGTGCGCGTCCGTTCGTCAACACTTTAGAGTACTGTTGTGTGATACCTGGAACTGTTATCAGACTTGTAACGTACTTTTACAAAGCGGACCTATTTGGCCGCATGTACACAACACATCCGTTTTCTAGGTACCTTTGAGTCCATCATAATTAGTAATGTTGAGTTCTTCGCGAAACAGTGTTTTAATTACTCTGTTTCTTTGACTATTTCAGAAACTGTCAGGGTTGGTGGTGAATCTACTGGCCACAGTCGGAGACATAAGTTATCAGTTAGCCCGCAGCGACTTTTCTTTGTCGACTACCTGTAACACTATGGATCCCAGCTAAGCGTTTTGCTTCTTCTAATCTTTTCAAGCTACTACCTCTACTTGGAGCAGCCATACAGGCGTTTTCCATCAAGGTTTTCCCTTAAATGATTGCACAGTCTTCGCTTCTCTAGTTCCCTTCATCAACCAATTTCCGATAATGTCTGAGGTAATTAATTCAGTTTCCATAAACTTTTAGAAAGGACAGCTTTGTGAAAACGGATATTTATCCTATTTCGAAGTAGACAGGCCTCGCGTAGCCGCCGCAGTGAAGCACCAGTGTTGAACACTGATGTCATGCTGTCGATGATGATGATTATGATGATGCAGTTTCTTGCGCCTTGATTCTGCGCCTCACAATCGGTGTGCTGCTAGTACTACATACATGTGCTTTCTGATCGTCTTCCCAAGAGACCAGTTTGTGTGTAGGGCGTGGACTGACAAATACAAACGATCTCACATAAACAATCTCTCCATGCACTATGATTCCATAAATGCTTGTGTAAACACGGTGACGTATGCAATTTCGAGCTATTTACGATACTGTTTACAGAATCCACAATTATCGTCTCAATAGATATGCACAGACATGATTGTGTATAGTACTCGCTAACGGTATTTGGTGCTTCGGGACTATTTTAGTACATTCAAAGTGACTGTACACAACCTTCCGAACCGGTCGATTCACGTTCAATTGACTCATTTGGCTCAGTGGTTAGAGTGCGAATTTGCTGACCAGAAGATCTGCGGTTCGAATCCAACATCCGCCTCTCGACTTCTCCTGTCTAGGCAGTATCCCAGTCCACGCGTTTTCTTCTGGTGGCGTGGCATTTAGGCACCGAAAGGATGTTACAACTGAACCATTCACTATCATGAATGAGTCAGAATAACCATTAGAACACAACCTCGTTAGGGATGCTTTTTATCCGGTCAATTTTTCAAAAATAAAAGCCAAAAGAATAGGTTTGCCAGCAAATATGGGAAAATATGAGCGCTACCCAAGCTATACGCTAATGAGTTGTTTTTCTGAACAGTCCAGATGGTATTTACGAGAAACATCGCCTTATCTTTGGGTGGCTGGGTTCGGAATCAAGTTTCATTGAGTAGCCGAAGACTTTGGCAAAAGTATACCAAACTGTCTGAGATCTCCACTCGGTCACATATCTTACTGTCTTCGGAATATCTACACTATCCGGTTAGATTGGCCGGATAGAAATAGCTGATATACTTTTATCTCGGGAGGTTTTCGTGCCAAACATGAGTTACCTGGAGAAATGAATTGGGCCGACAAAACCGCGGATTGTAACTTTTGCCGCAGTTTACTTATAGGGTTGACAGCTAAGTTATTGCTTTGTCTCAAACTGACATTCCAGGTTCAGTAAACTTAGAGAAGAGGCTCCTTTTGAGCAGGTTTCGTAAGTAAATGCATCTATTTATGCTTAAGGTTTCAGATACGATTGTTTTTTTTGCGCATTTTGATGAGACGTGAACATGATTAGGTGCCACATTAGGTGAGCGTGCTTTGTGACTGGCCAAATACCGGTTTGTATAAGGATGACGCTTACCCAATTACGCCACACCTTTTTCGTAATGTGACATCCCAGTATTTCTTTCAAATAACTTGATAAAAGTTGGTGTGAAGCTAAGATGTTATGAAGAAGTTCCGACCGCTGGAATGGAACCCATCAGTTCACTTTAACCCAACATCGAGAAGTTTCATGTCTCCTGAAGGGTCATCTTAGGAATCGCATCGAAATATCTCAAATTCTGTGACGCTACTTGTCAAAAATAAATGTTTGCCCCATTCTTGAGCGTTCAGAAGCAACGGGCGTTGAAAAAACCGCGAAGCAACAACGAAGGGTCAACGAATGCTAGTTAGCACCTTACCTTGCGCAGATCGTATTTTGGCAAAGTGTAGTCGGATTCCTCAGGATACCAACGAGGAGTGTTGTTTGGATAGGGCCCCAAAAGGTCATTGATTGTCACATTGCTGAAGCGAGATTTGCCGAGAAAATCGAAACTGTCCCGTACTTCAACCCCGACAGCTTCGGCACAGAGACCTGGGTGTTAGGGAGCCATGATGTGGGATAAAGTAATATGAATATGGCGTTAACTTGATGCAAATGTACTTGAAATAGTAGTGGATAGCACTGAAGAAACGCCGAAGTTGGCTTTCAAAAGGAACAGTGTAAAATACCTGTCAGGATCAAGCTTTGTGTTCCTATTCATCTCGATTTGTTCCAGTAACACACAGACAAACTGATGATGCACATAGAAATATAATCCCTTAGTTCGGAGCTCAAAGGAAGGATTTAACAGAATAAATGACACGCGTTGTACCGTCGGATGGGTGGTAATTAGATGTTTATCTAAGACGAAGTTGGACATCCGCTGGAGCTTAGTCAGACTCTCTTTCGGGATGCAATGATGAAACAGGCACCTCATGCTGGTAGTATGAGTATCTCGACATTGAATTCGTCCTTTAAGTGAAGCAAATCTATGCTGAAACGCTGAGAATCGCTGTACAGCTTTCCAATCCCGAATTGGAATCATCCGTGGCAGCTCACGAATGTTTCGAAACTGCGACCACTAGGTTAATAAGTTTAGGACTAAACGGCCATGGGAAGCTGATCAGCATTGATTGATTGATTCGCATCACATGGTCAAGTGCCCGCTGGACCCTCGGGCGACAACCTCTCAGACGGAAGGTTCACTCGTCATGTGAATAATTCTCCTCGATGAGCTACTTACGGTTTGTTGATAGTAAGAAAATGCGCATTACCGATGATGCCCAATAGGAATGACGCAGCTGTACAGTATCAGCTTTTTGGTATAGAGTGACCTCATTCAAGGGACGATATCTCCGTCAGACATTCTGACTGCATGTAAACGTCACTGATGAATAGAGCATCGAGGCGAAATAGACCCTCAATCGCAAACGAAGTTGGTGCTAAAAGGGGGCTCATCTGAATCCCAGCTGAGTCTCGCGTTTACGGCACTCTTCATCTGCATTTGCTGCACAAACTCAACTTCATGTTTTGTTCGGTACGAGACATGGGATTTCGAAGTATCTTGTCCAACCGTAACATACTATTTATAAGGTTGCTGAAAACCTGAGCTTTCAGTTGATCTGAGTCCTGTCTCGTGGGTCGACTGAAACAATCCCGGTTCACTCCTTCCGTTCCTTGAGCTTCCGGGTTCAACCACCCCTCCACATCAGCATACATAGTTTGTTTCAGCTGACGTCTAAAGGACCATCTATCCAAATTACGCTGCGGCCAGAAGCGATACAAGGCCTTGCATCATCAGAAGATCACATGCCGAGTTTTCATGGTCACATATAGTAGTTATTATCTCTCCTTAGTTAGGATTAGTGCTTTAGGGAGTTTTGTAGTCGGTATTGACATGCTTACTTGATTCGTGGTTGGGCTTGCCCGGGAAATTAAGTAAAAATATACACCAGAAAAGGGCATGATCTGAATCAACATATGCACCCCGGAAGGCCGATCACTGAGCCTCGTCACTGGTGGCTAACGACTATTCGATCAAGTCAGATACATGGCTTTCTAAGAGTACATGGATACCAGGTACCACAGCAGTGCCCACTGCGCCTTGACCTAGTACCGCTGGTGAACGACTGGTGGCTATTGCAAAGCTTTATAACATCATTATCATTACTCCTTGGGCCTAAACCAAATAGGCTACCAATCCGTATTTCGGATGGACTGCGGCTCCAAACTTGTGCACAAAAATACTCAGCAACTAATGTTACACCTGAACTCTGCAACTGATAAGTACCAGGAATACCCACATTAGCAGTTTATTGGCCAGCTAGCTTAAGGGTTCGAACATTAAAGGCTGCAATAAAAAGAGAGGATGGTGTCGGAGTGTTGAAACAGAAAAAGACGTGAGCAACGGTGTGCAGTCGGTAGGAAGAGACCACGTGACAATCACCTGCCGGTAGAGGCCCGTAGTTTAAGACTGTCGTTGATGCGGCAATCGCCGCTAAACGGGACATCATGCAAGCAAGAATATCAGTTCATATAAATGTATTGCGATATCTCGAATATCGTACCAACAGAAACATGAAGCGGTCTGGTGCAGCACATTCGGTTGCCTGGAAACATCACAAACGAGAGATTCAGCTAGGTTCCAGGTGAGTTCCTTGCAAAACCAAATTTATGACCTAGGTAATCTCAAATAAAACAACAAACTATTTGTCCGTTCCAAATATGCATTGTAATATAAACAACGGCAATCGCCAGGGTCCGATAAATATCGAGTAATTAGACTGTCTCATCCTCTGTTCCAGGTTCGTTACTGACTTCAAATAGTGCTGTGCACATATCTTAATCTAATTCAAAGCCAAGTCAGTTCCCAGTGTGGAGAACAGTGTATCCGTGGTGCTTGCAACATCAGCCGTTTAACGTCAGTCGACTGCGCTCATTTCTGGGACATGTCCGCCTTTTTAGAATGTTCTTATCCAGCGGTTTGTGAAACCGTGCCTGTACGTCCTTTATACAAATACATCGTCTAAGAAAGTCTGTTTTTTTTAAAAAAAATGTTCCTATATTCCACCAAGTTGTCTGCTGGTCGCCGAGATCCAAACCAGTCGGGTCGGGTGTACCGCCGATTTGCAGCCAAGCTTTCGGTTGTTACGTTCAACCTACTTTACCACAGAACTTCAGAATGCCAAAACTTCGACTGGTTTTCTTCTCCACTCGCCCAACTCCTGCACATAAATGTTGAACTTCTAGAGAGTACACGCACGCCCAAAATTGTGACCAAATCTTCTGGCGAATTGGAGCGGATTCCGAAACAAAAAGGGAACCGATGAATACAGCTCTTCAAACGTATTGTAAATGGAGAAAATCCCTCATTAGTTCCAGCAGCTGGAAAACGCCTTGAATCGATCGAGAAGTCATCGTTTCGGAAAGGTTTGGAAATTAGCCACCTGGCCTGAGGGACCTGTGTCAAAGGCGAAACCTCGTCGAAACAAACTTTCCCGAAACCCCATCATGAGTTACTACGGAATAGGTAAATCGAAGTCGCTCTCATGGGACGGAAAAGCCATTTCCTACGAAAATGGGCTCAGATGACTTAGGGCTGATGAGAACTCCGTTGGTTGGTTGGTTGAGTCACATGAACTAACGAATAAACCTGCAATGGACACATGTCTGTTTCGTCTGCTTTTGTTTCGCATCAGCATTGATGCACCATAACTCGAGGACTAAACTAAACATGTATGTTCAGAAAGTCGCTTCGAATCGCGTTTTGGTGGAGGTCGGAGCAAAAGTTCAAGGGACCGTTTAAAAGACTTGTGAACCATTTGCGCCCGGTTGGTGTTTCATATATGTTAGTCCATTAGTTTTAAGAGGCTGTATGTAGTAGGATAATTGATGGTGAGCAGTCATTTGGTATTTAAACGGATGTGATGCAGCAAGCTACTCGCAGAAGAAATGCGGTTTTGGCTGGAGAGAAATATGATCCCAAAGCACTTAAGGGGTCACATTAAACGAGGTTAAAAACGCAAATCAGTAGAGGGAATTTCCCAGAGGATTTCCGGCACTGGTACTCTTAGGACATTATAAAATCGAAAATATGAAAAACTAACGTTGTCCAACGCTTGAGTGCTGTAAACCTGGGTCATTAAATGAGGAGTTCCGGGACCAGGAACGTTTTTCAACCCCGGTTTAGAGGGGATTGTTTCCTTGAGGAAAAGATCAGAATATGGGTAAATTCCGTGCTCCCAAATCTTCCTCTCAATAGTAATGCCTTCTTGAGGGAAGGAAACGTCAAGAGGAAGGCGGGGAAACTGCACGGTTAGCAGCACCGCTGTTGCTACGCAAATAACTGGAAGAAAACTATGAGGAATCCAATCAACCTTGAAATAATAACTCAGATGGACCAAATAACGTTTCACCAGCAAATAAATACCACAGATGGAAACTTACTTATCTGCTCGTCTTCACGCCGATCGGTTTCTCCACACTCAGGTTTCTTATCCAACCCCCGGGTAACGATCAGTTCCAGGGCCCGCTTAGACAGCAAATAACCAACGCTGTTAGAAATTTTATCTCCATAAGGACCGGGCTGGAAAGAAAATATAGACCGTAAAGAGAAAACCGGACATTGTAGAGGGCATAGTAATAATTGGGAAATACCTCCAAAAAGGCCACTATCCTAGCCATAACGGCGTTTCCGGTCAGCCCTATCTAGCATGTAGTCCTTCCGAAAACAGCTCGGATGCTTTTCGAAAGTCTGGTGACAATCGGTAGATTTATTGTTGGGCAGCGTTTCGCTTTTGACACAAAAGCTTCGTCATGCCAAGTGACTAGGCTCGGAGGCTGGTCGAAAACGATGACTACTCAATCGGTTTCACCTGATTGAACATCGCTCGTATGCTTCTTTACTCGTGTTTATTTCGAAATCAGATTAAAATACCCTTAAAGAAAGAATGGTAGGAGAGGCTCTACTCGATTGCTGATGAGCTCTCACAAGATTCACGAGAGCAGTGCACAGTCACTCCACGATCAGGAGGTACACCGTACGGCAAAACTATGCCAGTTCACGTAGTAGTGTTGCAGTGCATGGTGTTACATGGCGCATGAAGACAACCAACAGAAAGAAAGTAAAGAATGATCTCAACAACTCGTATTATTAAGAAAAAAAGTTGAATTGCCATGGGTCCCGGTTTCATGACCTTGAGAGATACAGTTGTCCCACCAGGAGAATCAAATCAGCCTAGCATTATTCTGGCTCCAAAGATGAAAAACGACCCTGCACTTTGTGACAGGTCTTCGATGAATTCCATCCACCGTAGCAATAATAGTTTAAAAGATGAATTAGACGTTTGGTTACGATGGTTTGACTAAAGAAACTGATGACGAGTGCCAACGTAGAAAAACTACGAAATGAGTAAGCCGATTTGTCGAGGTACTGGTAACTCTTGCTAACTTTGTGTCGGTTTAGTCCAGTGCATTTACCCAGCTATAGGCGATGTAGCAAGGGTACAGTGTTCCCAACTGTCCATCAATGATAGGGAAGATAAAGGGGGGAAATTCAAGTACTGGATACGATAGCCTAACAGGCTCGGTGACTCCAAATTGTCACAGCCTTCTGACTAAGTGGATAATTGGGGATGAACGTAGTTAAGATCCAATGTAGGAACACCGCGAATCGCTTGAATAGGTCCCGGATGACTAGTTGATCTGAAAATATGGTATCTGAGTCCGATGCCACTCATTCTCACGGGTATAGGATGTATATCAAGCCATATGGTAGAACTATTCAGATCATCAAAACTAGTTGGCATTTATGAAGGATCTGATCTGGGAAGCGCAAAAACCCATCCAACTGTTTCATCCATTTGAGCGAGCAAACGCATCCTAGCTCGTCTCTCTAGTCAGACTATACGACAGGACCCCTGATTTAGATATGGGAAGCCTTTGATCGGTGAAGTGTACAGGGAGCTGAAAAATTTGAAATCAACACCTGATAGTTTTCAGACGCACGTATAAAATGACACACATCTTAGGACTCAAGGTCATCATTTTTGTTTGCCATCCAGGCAATAAAAGGTTTACCAAGTAATCTAAGGAATTTTAGCTAACTGACTCATGAAACATACTGACACAACTAAGCACAAAATGGCGCAGTACGACCTCGAGTGAATAGAGCTAGCGGCGTCTCACATTAAATGGCTAACAAAACCTATCCGTTATAAGCCACATTCATAAGACGACAAACCATGGTTAATTGTACAATTTAAGCAAACACACGTTTTCACACCTGGACACTAGCCACACCACTCCCACTGTCAACTGCTGGATTTTCAACCCTGATAACGAGCCAGAGATCGCTTGAAGTAGTCAACGTTTTGACAGCTGCACTGTTTCTCTCCAGACTTCGACAAGGTGCACTGCAGTTGAGCTTCAGGACATAATCACAACCAAATGAATTTCTACAGTGAGTAGGTTGTGTCCTGACTTAATTTCTACATGTTGACCTTAGGTGAAGTATAAGTTATCACAACGTAGTCGGCGGCGTCCAGCAATAAGTGAACCACAATGATTTTCACTCCAAACCTTCTGATAAACCTGCTGGTTGAAGTAAAGGAACTGTTATCTGAGATTTGGAAGATTAGGATAACAGAAGGTGATCCAGCTATCGCCTGTAAGGAGGATCCTCAGTACAAGGCAGTACGAAGTGCACAGCAGTGTTTCCTTTACGGACATATTGCTTGTTTGAGGGCTACTTATTAGGAAGAAGCAATACATTACCTGATTTCAAAGGACAGCTAACCAGTCATTAATTCCCACAACTTTAAACAGCTTCAAGCAAAACTGGAGAATTTCTCTACTAGAGTGACTAGCCCTAGAGAGCACCCAAATCAATCAATCTCGAGAGTATAGTTGTTTTGACGGGGACTGGTGATTCTGCTCATGGTGAAGCGTGCTTTAGAGGTTATTTCTAGTAATCATATTATCGATCATGTTGTTACCCTACTTGATCTTGATAATGTGGATACCAGGATTTAGCTCTCTAGTTATAATCCGTTTTGCAGGTGATCCATCTAACGAATACCCAAAGTCTAAGAGCCTAGCTAATTTAAAATCAAACTGAAGTAACCTCAAATACCTGCTATGCAATGATCGACCAAGTTTTACGGTCATCTATGGTGATCTCAGTAGATATGCCGAAGCTGACAATAGCTGTGCACTAAAAAAATCGCCCAAACACCTGGTTGCTTTGGCCACTGTGAACACTTTGGCGCGAATGTTAAACTGACCGCGCCTCTTCATTTCACCGACACCCAGTCTGCCCTAGTCACCTAAAACCACCCCAAGCATGTGGTGTATTGAGACTGAGCTCTACTGATCTTCCGTCTGCCTTCCTTACACAACGCGCAAAACATATGCTATGTTGTTAAGCACGTTCTGTCGGTTGAAGCGGGTTTAGGAGAACGGGCCTCCAGGATCGCAGGATTACCATTAAACTTAGGAATCCCTACGAAAGTCACCCTTACTTGAGAGTTTGCGATAAGGGGAGCCCTATGTGATCATTTTCGATATCCGGATATTTACGGATATGTTACTTACGGGAAAGTCTACGAGGGCCTTTCTAAAAAAACCCACAGAGCCTGAGAGAGAAACCCCCTCTCTCTACTTCCTTCACTGTAACAACTGCATTGCAAAAGTTAGATATTCCCGAAAATATCGGCACCCAAATAATCATGACCAAGAACGTCATCATATAGGAATATCCAGATGACTTTGTCTCCGAAATGCTATATGGAATTTGGGTATTTTAGGCCAGAAAATGTGCACGTTAAACTATTCGATTGAATGTTTGGAATATCCAAAAGCGAGCAGACAAACCTACCTCATGAACGTGACCCAACAAAAAAGGTTCCTTTGGATCTTCCAGCTCCAGCATGTACCGTACGTTTTCCATGATAATGTACGTGTCAAAGTCAGCCTTCAAGTAGTACATTACTGGCTCTTTGCTGGCATAAAGCGACCGGAGCGTGATACGCATAGTATTCCATGACTTTCGCTTGTAAGTTAACGTACTGTGGTTGGAATCTAAAATAATGGGCGAAGGGGGGGAAAGCAGGTCAGTCAGGCTACAGCGGTGTAGAAGTATTATGCAAGAGACACATTTTTTCCTTTATATGGTCAGAATCAGTCAGTCAAGACAGTCCCAAAGCAAACATTAGCAAGATGGCCATAACGAATATTTTTTTTCTGTTGAAAGAAGGGAGATTGTAGTCTGCTCACCATCATGGTCGAAAAGACAGAGCAGTAAAAGACCTCGCTAATAAGATGTTATCCTCTGTTTACTAGCTTGCCACCTATGGCAGTTAATTACTTTTTCCAAGAGGCTCAAAGGTCGTGCTACTGACAGGTATGACAGGGGATCATTGTCCCTTGCTATCAAGTACTCCTAGAGTAATCGTCAACAGAGACGTTGGGGTCACAGCAAGGCAATACTCTCGTTCAGCGAGAACGGGGAGAGAACAACATGCATAGACAAGCATCTAGTATGGCAGTAGTGCAGTCGGAAGGACTATTGTGCACCAAACAACGTGCCGCATGCGGTGCTTGGATCATTTATACGTATTCCACCATTTGACTGGTCTACTGATTCCATAAACGGGTTTACGTGCGTTGGTCAAGCTCAACTCCGAAAACGTCTCACGTACCTGACAGGGGCTCACAGACTAGGGATTTGCTAACAGGTAACACTCAGTATTGCAGAATGTTTTGAATTTGTGAATCCGCCTACAGCTATTTGTGTCAAACAAGGTCGAGGGGACAAAAAAGGATTGCATAAAGCAATGACGCAGGGAGCTCCGATTTTCAAAGTGTCTACATAGGTGCCTAACTTGAAATTCTACTAAACACTCTGCAAAGGCTAGGTAGTTCCAGTCCTCAACGGCAAATTCACCAAAGTGAACGAGTTCTCATGTCTCTATTTTTCCTTATTGAGAACGAAAAGTTGGTTTCGGTGCCTCTCTCCAGACAGCGTACACATTTTCGGAGTGAACAACATCCAATTGTCCAAAAGTGTTCCCTATGAGGGTAGGACATGAGTGGTTTCCAACTGTCGCCAGACAACGGGACTAATCAAAAGCCACGAAAAGTCGGACAGGTGATACCCACTGAGACAACAGTTGTTTGAAACCGAAGGTTTAGCAAGAAGGATGAATTCAGACCAGAACGGAAGCTAGATCTGCAGCGCACAGACATAGTTCAGTGATGCAGAGATTGATCCAGGTAGCGACAACTCTGTTTCTAAGAAACACCAAAATACTGTCTATAGAGAGGTAATCGGCCGGTGCATCAGCTTCGCAACCTCCATAACGTTCAATACGGATTTCGTCTTATCAGGGAAGTCAACCTATGCTGTAAACCTGAGAACTGTAAAAAAAATTTTTTTTTTAATCGTTCAGCTGTAGCGCCCTTTCGGTGCCTAGCTGCCATGCCACCCGAAGGAAGCACGAGGGCTGGGATACTGTCAAGTTGCCCAAGCCTAGACAGGGGAAGTCGAGTGGCGGAGGTCGGGTTCGAACCACGGACCTTCCGGTCAGTAAATTCGCGCTCTAACCACTTGAGCCATCTCGCCCCTGAGCCCTGAGAACTGTACGGCTGTTTCATTCTTATTGAAAATTATCAACAGTGCGTACCTCATGGAACTCAGAGTTTCGAATCCGCGAGCTAATGGCAAGTAGATGAAAACTTAACCGTTTAACCGCGAGTGCCTGATCAAGAGTGTGATTAGCTCCCACTTAGACAGGATGTAGCGCCACTCTCTGTAAATCACGGAAGCCACGGTCAGTAAATCGCGCTCTAACCACTTGAGCCATCTCGCCCCTGAGCCCTGAGAACTGTACGGCTGTTTCATTCTTATTGAAAATTATCAACAGTGCGTACCTCATGGAACTCAGAGTTTCGAATCCGCGAGCTAATGGCAAGTAGATGAAAACTTAACCGTTTAACCGCGAGTGCCTGATCAAGAGTGTGATTAGCTCCCACTTAGACAGGATGTAGCGCCACTCTCTGTAAATCACGGAAGCCACATCACACGGTCATCTTGTGAAATTAATCTTTCTCTGATCTACTCCTGAAACCGAATAACACCGAAACGCATCAGATAAAGATCGCAAAAGTTTGAGACGGCAGTTTGAGAACCCAATTGGTGTAAATCATACGTCAGCCTTTGTACGTACGAAACTATTGTTGCAGCACCTCACTGAGCGAGTATTCATTGCATATAAACATACCGGGTCGTCGTCACATTGCCAAGAGTATCAAACGGCCTTCATATATTTTGGTTAATTTGGTTGATGCTACCAAGCCACTCCTAAAACGAGTGAGAGTGTGATTACCACTTAGACAGGATGTAGCGCCACTCTCTGTAAATCACGGAAGCCACATCACACGGTCATCTTGTGAAATTAATCTTTCTCTGATCTACTCCTGAAACCGAATAACACCGAAACGCATCAGATAAAGATCGCAAAAGTTTGAGACGGCAGTTTGAGAACCCAATTGGTGTAAATCATACGTCAGCCTTTGTACGTACGAAACTATTGTTGCAGCACCTCACTGAGCGAGTATTCATTGCATATAAACATACCGGGTCGTCGTCACATTGCCAAGAGTATCAAACGGCCTTCATATATTTTGGTTAATTTGGTTGATGCTACCAAGCCACTCCTAAAACGAGTGAGATTAGCCTAAGTCAGTGACAGCAACATACATGAACGAATGGCATCGAAAGTGACATGTTTACAGGGGCGGACTTATTATCCTATCCAACAAAAGAATAACACCTATGAGGAAGGTGTGGCTTCTCTCGTTGAAGAAGCACCAGCTTCCTCTAGAGTACCGGAGAACGCATTACGACAGTTGCGGAAGGGATTCGCTTATGAGCCCCATGTGCTATCCACATGTCATTTGAACTCATCACATACGAAAATGACACGTGATCCACTAAGACAAAGGTAAGTGTATGACAATTATGAAGCAACCATTAGTCAGTTAATCACACCACGGTGTTATAGGATGCATGCGCATTGAGAGTCTTTTCAATAAAATCTAGCCTATGTGGGCGCAAGCGAAGGTAGAATGAGAAATCACGCTTATACGTCATCCGCATTTCAGAGCACATTTGGTGGTTCTAGCTGACAGGTTTGTTCACAGAGAGATCAAGAATCGATAAGTATATGAATGCTTTAATGAATTTACAAGCGAGGACACAGTTTCATGTGACTGCCTAGAGGATGAATGCCCTATACTATCATGGCGTGGGATGGCAAGCATACAAAAAAGGAGCATATGAGTAATGATTAGGTTGCGCACATGAACAGAGTTAAAGTGTCTGTGAAATAGGTATTGTAACCTTTGCTCCACATGTGCTTGAGAGCTAGAACTTCTGTGAACGGAAAACAGACTGACTTAGGATGGTAAAGGATGACCTCTCACTGCGATTTGAACCGTGAATCAATTAGTGAAGATAGTTTTATTATACAACAAAAATCCGTGAAAGTAGTGGACGATATTGCTGAATAAATAGCCTTCCAATCCAAGTAATCTTAAGTAAACTGGAGTTGGGTAAAACGATGAAGCTATGTGGAATAGTGGCTTGTCAAACAGAGTCAAGGTCTGTATTCTTCACGCGCGACACTGCCATGTGGACTTTACTACTCCGTGACTCATTAAAAGAGTAAATCTATCATATGTATTCTGAAAGCCATTCAGTGTTTCAAAACAGTCCTTCATGCACGACTTTCTTCGCAATCATGTTAGAAGAAATTCTGAGTAATAATTAGGTTTGTGACCGGGGTATAAGCGAGAAACTCAACCAAAAGATTATATCGTTTCAGCCAAACATCACATTGTGCAACTGAACGAATCCCTCAATTTACGTGATGCTGCTGAAGACAACGAACGCGCACGTGAAGGAAATGAATACACAGTAGGAAGGAAAAACGACCGGAACTACTATGATGCAAGTATTGTTACCCTGTTTTATTATTGTTATTTATTATTACTATTATTATTATTATTACCAAAGTTTACGTCCATTTCAATCACTGGCAACTTTTAGATGGGTCATGCTGCTATATTGATTTCCCAAACATACTGCATCCCGAAGTTACCAAGCGGTCTGATCATCTGGGTATTTCAATGTTGTATAAAGGTAATATTGCGCCCTGTTTTAGTGCTGAAGAAGTAAGTTGTTATACCAATTTAACCACCAAAAGACAAATTTAAGCGTGCCGGTTCCGGGGAAAACAATAAGATACATTAGCATAACTGTGCCACACCGGCAACGATGAAGAGTCGCGCTCTTAAGAGATATCGAACGATCCATTTGTGAACCCCCTTCAAGGGGCGAGATGGTCCAAGTGGTTAGAGCCCGAATTTACTGACCGGAAGGTCCGTGGTTCGAACCTGACCTCTCGACTTCCCCTGTCTAGGCTTGGGCAACCTGGCAGTACCCTAGCCCTCGTGCTTCCTTCTGGTGGCATGGCAGTTAGGCACCGAAAGGGTACTACAGCTGAACGAGTCAGTCGAAACAGTCAGAATCCTCTTCAAAAGTATTTTAGATTTACTGTTGAAACGATTTTGGAACTGGAAGTGAATGCATGGAGGAATGCTTGAAACGCAGTGGTATCCTAATACGTTTACAGAAAACACCTACCTAAGCCATACTAACCAAGTTACACAGGTTTCCGACTGGAATACGGAAATGATGTGAACAACTAAATAAGTCCTCATCTCCCGCAGCACAGTTCCAGCAGTCGACCTGTTGTAGATCTGAACCAGTGTGAATGATTTGGTGTGAACTTTGATCCATTACTAAGTGATCATATTTACCACCTCTGTGTTGTTTACAAAGTCACATACGTGTTCAAACATTGCGGTTTATGCTGTTCATCGACAGTTCATTCTGCTTTCCTTGCGAATAACAGACGGTACATTAACATTGCGGACAGGATGTGCACTTGCGTGAGGAGACCTCGCTGGATTGTAGAGCCACAGCCTTACACATCAAGACGATACACAAAACTAGTAGACTGCATGTCACAAAAGGGCTTCAAATCGCATTGATAAGTGCTACTCCATTTAACAGGTGTGGCAGGTTATAGGTATAGTCCAGTTCTTTATCATGCAAGACCGAAGAAACGGAAGAGTGCGTCCCGAACAGCCCAAGCAGGAAAAGTGCGCTACAAAAAACAAACATGCTTGACAAATGTCGTTGATTCGTTCTCCAATGTGTGCCATAGACCTGTAGCTGCTTCAACGAGAGATGGGCAACCTGACCCAAACGCTTGAAATGAAGAACCATACAAGGATACTACAGGTTGGGCGGTCGTATTTTCCTGGACGACAGTGTGAATTGTCTACCAGATTTACCGACCCCTTTTAATTCCACATCGCTCTTTGGTTAAAACAACTGTGCAATGTAACAAGCGGCTTGCACATTTGTCGGACCTCATAAGTAGAGCGGTTTTTTCGCTTCCGGCTCCCTCAAGGCATCTGTGTTGATCAATAGTTGTCGGAACCCCGGTTTATAATCCAACAGTAATATCCACAGGAATTTGTTCATCCGGGGTCTGTCAAGTATGGTTCCGTGTGTACAAAAGACAACGCACTGAGTTGTCGCGTTTTTGAACGCTTACGAGGGGAAAAGGGAAAACAGTGGTTTTTCTAAATTCAGCAAAAGGACTTTAAATGAAAGGTCATCATTGGCACTAAATAATGCAAAAGTCTAATAAGAATCTGGATAGCTACGCAACAAAAACAGTAGCTCCAACACAAGAATAGCGCTGACTCATTACCAGCACTATCAGTATGACTCTAGTCCATTCTACAACGCTCAAAGCCAGAACACCTTCTGAGTTCTACAGTAACCCTGGAATGAACCTGAAAATCAATGACGATAAATTGCTAAAACTGTTATAAAATTTCTGCCAAGAAAAACTAAGTAGAGAGGTGAAAAATGCAACTTACCGAGTCTTCGAAGTAATCTGTGGGGTGTAGGCGTGACAAATCCATATCGAGTGCATCTCCTAACCCACGTATTCTGGACGTGCAGCTGTGAGTCTAGCTGAGACGACTCAGTCAAGATGAAACAATAAATGTGGATGGTGCTCGCTAACCGCTTGGCGTAATTCAAATCAGCTGACAAAAACAAGTTGGGTGGAACAAAAATAGAAATACTCACTAGCTCCGAAATAGGAAGAAGCAGGCTTCGTATTTTCGGCTGAATTGATGGTACACTGTGACACACTTCGGATGGGCTCAAACCATAAATCCGCAACCAGTACAATGCACATGCCAATCAAAAAAAGCTTGATATCCTGGAGCTTCACAAGGTAGTTCTAGAACGAGTGTTATTGAGCTACGAAGGGAAACATACCCATTTCTCTACCTTGAAAGATCGAGTGAACTCAATGAAACGACGCATGCTAAAAAATTGAAGACACGTTGAGAGGCATAACAACTCAGTTGCATATAGAGAGATAACTGTTCAGCTGTAACACCCTTTTGGTGCCTAGCAGCCACGCCACGCGAAGGAAGCACAGGGGCTGGGATACTGCAAGATTGCCCAGCTGCACATACAAGGTTAGGAATGAACCAATAGACATTATCACCTTGTTGGCAATTTATGCAAGTGAAACGGTGAACGAAGAATGGACCCAGTCGGATCGTGGGCTCAAAAGTGACATATCATGCGATTCGGGTTAGGTAAAGTGGTTGTTAGAGGGAGACACAATGCTCTAACACCACTGAGATAAAACGCCACTGATCGCCAGATTTGTAGCTCAGAAAGCATATATGAGCCTAAGCAATCGTCCTGTTTATATTCACTAATATCGCTTTCACTTGAGGACTAGCTGCACCCGGGTCTGCTGGAACTACATATTTTGTCTCCTGGCTTCGCTGTTGAGTAGGGTTACATCCGTGGTCTGTTCCAGCTGTAGCACCCTATCGATGCCTAACTGCCATGCCACCAGAACGAAGCACGAGGGCCGGGATACTGCAAGATTGTCCGAGTCTAGACGGGGGAAGTCGAGAGGCAGAAGTCGGATTTGAACCACCGACCTTCCGATAAGTAAATTAGCGCTTTAACCACGGAGACATCCCTTCCCCTTCTGATTTGTTATTCCGTCCTCTCTTCAACTTTGGGGCCAACGAGCTTTCAAAATCAAACTATCTGAGGGACAGTGATTAATTCAACTATTCGTTGACCCCACACTCATTTTCCTGAGTAGAACTTATGACTGACTTCTCAGAAAGTAACCAGTCGTCCTCTACCAATTGATCGTTGGATAAGTAAGTACAGTAATCAATTCAGCTGTGGCAACCTATCAATGCATGGGTTCCATCTAGCCTGAAGGAAGATATTGCTAGGTTGCCCTGGCCTGGAAAGAAGTGGTCGAGCGGCTAGATTTGAGTTCGAACCATGGGTCATAACCACTCAAGTATTCCAAGCCGTGTGAAGGCATATCAATGCGGATGCGGTGAACCACACTCATGAAGATGAACTAAAGGTTTTAGACACGAATCAAGATAAGCACATTAGCCTGGACTTCCGGTAGGGGGCTTGCCGGGAGGGGAGAGACCTCTAGGTCCTGCCGTTGGGTCTAACCGAAACTAGAGGTAACGGCTTAAACAAGATAACTGAAGCTCCATTAAGCCTCATCAACCCCCAAACATACCTCCTGGGCCGGAAATTATTATCAACATCAGGGCATTATTCCCTTATGGTGGAATGACGGCTAAGCACCCGAATACACAGCTGTGTATTGTTGTCGATGATGATGAGCATAGCATGTGAACTGCGGAGGGGGGAGGACACTTATTCCAACACCCATAAAGATAATTTCTAGAATTTCTCTTAGAATTTGTCGCTACATAAGGCTGGTACAGATGTTCTACAGTCCTCTCCACGCCAGCTGCTCCCCTACTGACACAGCTATAGACTTGTGGTAATCCTCAATTATGTAGTGGCTCCGTCAGAGCAGGGGACTTTGGGCGGAAGCGCCGTGAACAGCCGAAGAGTACCAACAGGATTATGTCATTGAATAGATGTGCTTCGTATATGGATACTATGTCAGAAACCTAAGAATCAGCCTCAGTGACCGATTTAGTCGATGTACACATAAATAACTACATCCCATCGCATACGTATGACACATTATTCAATATTCAACAAAGTAGAAACTTTTGTAATATAGATCTTCGTGTTCGACGTACGAGAAAATATAACAGCACGGTTCGGCTGAAAAACCTTTTCTATTGTGCAACTCAGAGGCAGAACAGGTGATACTGCTAGGTTGCCAACAACTAGAAAGGAGCAGTAGAAAAAGCGGAATTCTGCTCGAACCATAAGTCTTCTGATGGGCGGCTAAACATTTTTAGCACTGAGCTGTCTAGTTGCGTTAGCTGACCTCCAAACCATATTCTTGACAGTTCAAAAGAATCAACCTCAACGCACAGAAAGACCCAAGAAAATTCTGAACTTTCCAATATGTCTAACCACACACAAATCCAATAACCTTTTCACGATGACGTATCACCTATGAGGCCCACCAAACAAGCTACTCGCCAGAGTCAACAAGGGGGCGAGATGGCTCAGTGGTTAGAGCGCGAATTTACTGACCGGAGGGTCCGTGGTTCGAGCCCCACACCTGCCTCTCAACTTCCCCTGTCTAGGCTTGGGCAATCTGGCAGTATCCCAGCCCTCGTGCTTCCTTCGGGTGGCATGGCAGCTAGGCATCGAAAGGGTGCTACAGTTGAACGATTATCGATTATCAGGGTCAACAAGTGGATATGGTCAGATGAATGCCATATCACTTCAATTCTGTCAGATCCATGGTAAACTCTGACTTACTGCCAACTCATTACGGCCCACCACTGATCATCTTTCTGGCGTCAGATGCTTCGAACTGTGGCATATGTGCAGTGATCTTGAGTTTCTTACCCGAGAGCAGCCAGAATGTCATTGCACATGCGATCGGATCGACACCAGCCAGGCGTTGGCCCGTCATTATTCATCATCAGCTGTGAGGACCGTGTAGTTGTCGTACAAAGGTTCTAGCTGCCACGATTTTGTCCACCGATGATTTGGGGATATGTGGTAGATAGTTGCGCATTAGAGGAGGTAGCTGATAAAATGGATGTGTAATCATGGTTGTCAGTAGATTTTCAATTGGAGAGATTAGGAGGAGAGCTATGTATTGAAGTCAATAGCTTGGATGCATGAACACTATTGAGGTGTGATTGAGCCATCTAATGATGCATCTAACCACTGATGTGTCACGTCTTGAAGTCCTCATCCAGGGAGAGGCAATGACCTGGGTAACTGTTTGCGGATAATGGCTTTTACACTTCACTTCCAAGTCTTGTTTGATCTCTCCTGACTCGTTTACACCCTTCGCGTGGTTGTGCTTAAAGAGTACTTCGAGGAATTCATTCGACTGGCATACAGAGCACGTGACCAAACCAGCACAACCTCTGGATTGCGACCAGTTCATCTGTCGTGGGCGGGTTATCCCTTCTGAAAACCATCCGGTGTACTTCAGCATCAGTAATTTGGTGTTCCCTCCTGACTCGGGCAATGCTCTGAAGACATCTACGGTTAACACTGAGTGTTTTAAAGTCCTCAGCGCGAAGCGGCCAGGTTTCTGATCCGTATACTAACACGACGCGCACCGCAGCACTGCGGAATCGACCCTTGGTGGAAAAGCTGGCGTAACACTCAAGCCACACGTAACACAGGTTCATGAAAGCTGCTCTAGCCTTCCGATGGAACTAGCACCTTCCGCCAGACCACCGGGACTAATACAGCTGCCAAGGTAGACAGACTTGTCTAACTACCTCAATCGGCTAATCCGCAAGCATGAGGCTGGGGTTCGAGCCCACCCAGTCTTGCGGTAACACGTTACACCTTGTAAGTGTAAAGCGCATGCCAAACTATGAGGCAGAATTACTCAGATAATTTAATATTATCTGCATTACTACGGCCTCAGATCTAAGAAGAGCTATGCCTTCTGCGTACTCGATATCTGTGAGCGAATGCAGCGGGAGCACTTCGAACCCACAGGCGTTAGAGGCTGGTAGTGTCTTCTATAACCGTATCAATGATGAAGTTGAATAGGAAAGGTGAAAGAGGACAGCCTTATCTGATACCAATTGGTGTGCTGAACTGAGGTGACAGCTTCCCGTAGGCCTTCACACATCCGAGGGAGTTGGCGTACAGTGCCTTTAGAAGGGTCAAGAATTTATGGGGAACGACTTTGCTAAACAGACACTGCCATATTGCCTAACTGTCTGCAGAGTCAAGGGTAGCTTTCAAGTCAAGGACGACAACCATTGTTTGGTGTTATCTCAGCTGTAGCTTCTGTAAGTCCGACTTCAATAACAATCCCAAACACTTTTAACTCTGATTTCAAACCCTGAAAGCCGGTCTACTCACCTGCCTTTAACGTTCGTACACTGAAACAAACAAGACAACAAGTGGCTCTTCCACGTACGGTGGATCCTCTCTGCACTGATGAATGCTGTCCGTCAAAAACAAGGATACAGGACTCAAATACTGCAAGTGAAATGCCTGCCCCTCTCTGTTCAGGTTCCAGCTGCTCACCTCTGGTGATGCAGAGGCCGCTGCAGCCGGATATGCCGGCGTCGGTAACGTATGAAGCAGCCGAACGGAAGCGTCTATGCTTGATTGGATACCCGCTGGCAGTCGCCTCTGCGCGGTTCGTTTGGTAAATCCTGTGAGAGAATCTCGACAAAGTTATGCCTATCACACACTGTTTATTTTGTCTGTTTACGCCCCAACGGACTGAATCTGACAAAGGCTGTTCCTATGACGCTCTAGGTGCAAGTTTACAACGGATTACAAGCTCAGACATTGCTGTGATCGCTGGTGATATCAACCATCAAGTGAGTAGAATGAGCGCTGCTGAGGTTCGATTGTGTGGTCGTCTTAAGTTGGGTACGAAGCGCACGGACAACGAAACCATTTTACTTGAGCTGAGTCTCGATCACAGGCTGTTTCTTCACAGTACCGATTGCTGCAACAGCGGAAGTCGCTTGTGGCGTGGTGCCCACCAACGAAAAAGTTCCCATCTATACGGAATCTTTGATAGGATCACAGCTTCGCTTGAGGCCCG